TCATGAAAGAATCCACACGGGGGAAAAACCATTTCAATGTACAGAATGTGGAAAAAGCTTTGCTTGGACAGGACAACTTAATTCTCACAAAAGGACCCACACAAAAGAGAGACCATATAAATGCATACAGTGTGGAAAAGCATTTACTCACAAAAATAGTCTTACTTGTCATGAAAGAATCCACACGGGGGAAAAACCATTTCAATGTACAGAATGTGGAAAAAGCTTTGCTTGGACAGGACAACTTAATTCTCACAAAAGGACCCACACAAAAGAGAGACCATATAAATGCATGTAGTGTGGAGAAAGCTCCTACAATTTCAATAGAATAGAATAGGGTTAGAAGGAATCTTGGAGGTCGTCATGTCTAATGCCTGCTTCTGCAGGAGACTGTCATGGTTCCAAGTAATATCCCCAACAGAATAGAGCAGAAAGAGCTTTATTAACAAATGGCAACTTACTTCCTACCAAAGGATGCATACAGGGGAGAGACCATATAAATGTATACATTGTGGAAAAGTGTTTACTCAGAAAAGTGGTCTTATTAGTCATGAGAGAATCCATGCAGGGGAGAAACCATTTCAATGTACAGAATGTGGAAGAGCTTTGCTCAAAAAGGACAACTTAATTTTCATGAGAAAATCCACACAGGCCAGAGACCATATAAATACACAGAGTGTGGGGAAAGCTTTGCTCGAACAGGACAACTTAATTCTTATAAAAGGACCCACCCAGAAGAGAGACAATATAAATGCATGTAGAGTGGAGAAAGCTCCAGCAATTTCAATAGAATAGGGCTGGAAGGAACTTGGGGGTCTTCTAGTCCAACCTCCTGCTCCAGCAGAAGACTGTCAGAATTCCAAGTAACATCCCCAACAGAATCAAAACTCAGGCATTTACATTTACTCATAAAGGAATTCAAAGTGGGGATAATCCATATGAATGCATGGAGTGTGAAACGAGCTTTGCTCAGAAAAAACAACTTAATTCTCATGAAAGGATTCACCCGGAACAGAGACTATATATATGCATGTAGTGTGAAAATGGTTTAACAATCACAAGTTATTTATTCACGAAACAATCCAAAATGGTAAATCTAATGGATGGAGTATTAAAATAATTTTACTGGCAAAGAACATCTTATTCATCATA